TTTATTTTTTTCACCAATTTCTGTTTAATGGAGGGAAGATTGTTTCAGCACATTTGTAAGCATAATAGTTTTAAAAACCTATTTCTAATAACTGATTTATTTTATCTTTGCCATGATGACAGTAAATAATATTTTACTAGATATTTTTCAAGACACTTCTATACAGCTTAAAGTGACATTTAAAGGCTTAACTGGGTTAATAAGGATAAATAGGCAGGTTAGGGTAATTAGGCAAGTTATTCTATAACGATGGTTTGTTTAGTAGACTATCGGAAAAAAAATCAGCTTAAAGGGGCTAATAATTTTGTCCCAAAAATTGTTTTTAAAAAATTCAAAACTGCTTTTATTCTAGCCGAAATTAAACAAATAAGACTTTTTCTAGAAGAAAAAAATATTATCAGACATACTGTGAAAATTTCCTTGCCCTGTCAAACATCATTTGGGAAATATTAAAGAAAGAAAAGAAATCACAAGGGGGCTAATAATTTTGACTTCAACTGTATATATATATATATATATATATATATATGTATACCCTTAACATTCTACACACAATCCCCAATAATGACAATTTGAAAAAAAAACATCAGTATTCAGCCTTTGCCTTGAAGCTCTAAATTGAGCTCAGGTTCATTCTGTTTCCACTGATCATTCTGGAGATGTTTCAGCAGCTTCATTGGAGTTCACCTGTGCTCAATTCAGCTGATTGACATGATTTGAAAAGGCTACACCTGTCTATATAAGGGCCCAGGGTTGACAGTGCATGTCAAAGCACAAACCAAGCATGAAGACAAAGGAATTGTCTGTAGATCTCAGAGACAGGATTGCCTGGAGGCACAAGGCTGGGGAAGCTTACAGAAACATTTCTGCTGCTCTGAAAGTTACAATGAGCACAGCAGCATCCATCATCCGCAAGTGGAAGATAATTGGAACCCCCAGGACTCTTCCTAGAGCTGGCCGACTATAAGCTGAGTGATCAAGGGAGAAGGGCCTTAGTCAGGGAGGTGATCAATAACCTGATGGTCGCTCTGTCTGAGCTCCAACGTTCTTCTGTGGAGAGAGGAGAACCTTCCAGAAGGACAACCATCTGTGCAGCAATCCACCAATCAGGCATCTGTATGGTAGAGTGGCCAGACTTAAGACACTCCCCGCCTGGAGTTTGCCAAAAGGCATCTGAAGGACTCTCAGAGCATCAGAAATTAAACTCTCTGCTCTGATGAGACTCAAATTGAACTCTTTGGAGTGAACGCCAGGCGTTACGTTTGGAGAACAGCAGGCAGTGCTCATTACCAGGCTAACAGCATCCCTAGAGTGAAGCATGGTGGTGTTGGCATCATGCTGTGGGGATGTGTTTCAGCAGCAGGAACTGGAAGACTAGTCAGGATAGAGGGAAAGATGAATGCAGCGATGTACAGAGACATCCTGAGTGAAGACCTGCACAAGAGTGCTCTTGACCTCAGACTGGGGCGACGCTTCATCTTCCAGCAGGACAATGACCCAAAGCACACCGCCAACATATCAATGGAGTGGCTTCACAACAACTCGGTGAATGTCCTTGAGTGGCTCAGCCAGAGCCCAGACCTAAATCCTATTGAACATCTCTGGAGAGATCTGAAATCGTTGCTTCCCACCAAACCTGATAGAGCTTGAGAGGTCCTGCAAAGAGGAATGAGCAAAATATCCCAAAGACAGGTGTGCAGAGCTTGTGGCATCATATTCAAAAAGACTTGAAGCTGTAATCGCTGCCAAAGTTGCATCAACAAAGTATTGAGCAAAGCCTGTGAATACTGATGTACATCTGATTTTACAGCTTTTTTTATTTTTAATAAATTTTCAACAATTACAAAAACTCTTTTTTTTCACTTTGTCATATGGGGGATTGTGTGCAGAATGTTGAGGAAATAAAGGAATTCAATCCATTTTGGAATAAGGCAATGAAAGTATGAATACTTTCCGGATGCACTGTATATATATATATATATATATATATATATATATATATATATATATATATATATATATATATAGAATGTATATGCATATAAGTACATCTGTAATTAATGTCTGTAATTGCATTGGTAATTACACTGTTGACCTTGCCTTACACCAGCGGTTCCTAAACTGGGTTGTGGGACAAAAAAGTCCAAAAGTCTAATCAGTTTTATTAAGCTATTAGATTTACCTCATATTTTCCTCATTTATCATATTTTCCACAACCCACAGAAGATAAAAATACTAGTTTATAGTTGCATAAAAAATCAACAACATGCACATAAAAAGCCATTCGCCTTTTAATTATTTTTCATAGGATTGTATGTTAGATTAGATTTTATATGTTAGATTATCAACACTGATTGATTTCATAGCACCAGGTTAAACTTGACATACATTAAGGATAAATGCAGGCCACAACTGAACATCCTAAACATTTGGTACAAATGCATGAGCGAAGAAAAACGACATGCCTCAATGCCTTCCAGAATTTCCCTCCACAGCAAGTGACATCACTTGGGAGCAAGTCACATGCGTTTTCTACAGATTGTTCTGCCTTTTTAACACCCTGTAGCAGAGTTGACCAGAACACAGAGACACACTAAATGTGTTTTATTATTACTAAAATTACAAATAATACAGAAAATAGATGCTTCATGCTAATGTTTATTAACTTATTAGAGTAAACACTCAAATAGATCAAAATTTAATAATTTTTTTGTTAATTGAAGACAGTCAAAACATATTTACAAGATATAAAATGTCCCTAAATATCCATATGGAAATTATTCTAGAGATAACCTCATGTTACTGTTTCATTAAAGATTTTGTTTTTGTAAAATTAAAGGATAGACCTTTGGGGACACACAATGACCCACAATTCTAGCATCCCCCATATATATATACACACTAGTGTGTGCAAGCTCATAGCTAGAAACTATTAGTCTTCATTATTTTCAGGCTTGTGACAACTGTAGCATGATGCTGCACCCTAAATGGAGGCCATAATGTAATGTGATGATGTATGGAGACCTGCTAACATTAACACAAGCCACACTACTCCTTTCACGTGCTACACTAAAAAGAGAGAAATTGGTGGAAGGGCATTGCTCTTCAACTAAACATCACAAATGTGCCGTTTCAGCAGTGTTACAGCAAATCCGGGAGACATGCCTGACCTTTTAGCATGACTTTATAGGAAGAGCAGGCCAGATATACAGCTTGCTGCTAAAAGACTCCATGCATGAAACCAGCTCCAGTATTTAACCATTGATTCTGAATGTTTTGGTTGACAAGATTCTGTCAGTGGGGATAAAGAAAGATTTGGGTTCTCAGTAATAACCGTTCATGGTTTATAGGAGTCAACCATTTATCCAGATTTCAGTGCAAAATCCCATAGTTCCACTAATATGTGACCCTGAACCATAAAACCAATCATAAGTGTCAGTTTTTGGGAATTGAGATGTATGCCTTATCTGAAAGTGGATAAAATAAGCTTCCTGTTAATGGATATTTTGTTAGGATATGATGTATTTGTCAGAGATACATATTTGTGGCATCTGAATAGTTCAGAAAATCTAAATAATCACATTAAATGACCAAAATTGTAGTTGAATTGTTTTGAATTTGAATTTGTATTGAATTTTTTCAATATTAAAATTGGGAAATGTACAAAGTTTCTTCATAGAACATGATATTTCCTTAATCATGTTCGTTTAATATATCATATTCCTTAATATATCTTAATTCCCAGTATCTATCATCAATGATGCATATTTAAATATATAGAATCTGAATGGTTCAAAAAATGCAAATAAATCACAATAAAATTACTAAATCAAATTTTCATCAAAGTGTATTAACAATTAAAATTTTAGTTTTCATATTTAAAATAGGGAACTTACAAAACTTCTTCATAGAACATGATTTTTCCTTAAGATATCATATTCCCTAATATATCATATTCATTATATCTTAATTGCCAATATTTATCATCAGAGATGCATATATTCTAATATGTGGAATCTGAACGCTTCAGAAAATTTAAATAAATCACATTAAAATGACCAAATCAAGTTTTCATCAAGGTATACTATTAATTAGAAATTTATTTCTTATATTTAAAATAATAAATTTACAAAATCTCTTTTGAGAACATGATCTAATTTAACATGAATTTTTGGCATAAAAGAAAAATATGTATTTACAAAATTCAATTTACTTTTGGTTTTGACAAAAATGTACATGTGCAACATAAGGCTCCAGGTCACACGTCTTTTCTTGATTGTTTTACTTGACATATATTATTATTTAAAAATTAAAAATGTTGTATGCTTAAAATAGGAAGTTTACTAAGTTTCTTTATAAAATATGATATTTCCTTAATATAGCATTTCCCTAATTCCCAATATTTGTCAGAGATAGATATATTTGAGTATGTGGAATCTAAATGGTTAAGAAAATGTAAATAAATCACATTAAAATGATCAGAATCAAGTTCTTACTTAAATATATTATTGATTAAAATTTGAATGTTTACATATTAAAATTAGGAAATTTGCATAAACTAAATGAAGTTTTCATCAAAGTATATTAATAATTAAACATATAGATTTCTTATATTCAAAATTGGAATTTTCAGAGTTTTTTCATAGAACATAATATTTCCTTACAATATCATGTTCCCTTGATATATCATATTCCTTAATATATCTTAAATCAGAGATACATATATTTTAATAAATGGAATGGTTCAGAAAATGTAAATAAAATACATAAAAATGACCAAGTTTTCATCCAAGTATATTGTTAATTAAAAATTGAGTTTTCATATATTTAAAATAGGAAATTTACAGTTTCTTCACATTCTTCATTTCCTTAATATTTCCATAAAACGTTGGCACAAGATCAAAATCTATATTTTTGACTTGTACCATGTATTTTTGGTTTTGACAAAAATATACCTGTGCAAGACCTGTGGTTTTGTGGTCTAGGGTCACATACATCAACACAGTATAATATTTTATTGAAAGAAATGTCAAGCCTGCCATTTGTTATCACAATTTTAATTCTGTCAGGTTTAATCTCTCCATCCGATGCCTGGAATACAGTGTTGCAGTCCTCAATACATGTCACCACATTTGCTCTGAGAGAATTACTGCTAATCACATCACCGCCTTGAAGACTAAACAGTTGATTTGGGCACTCTGGAAAAGAGGCTGCATAATGAACTGACACACATAGAGAGATGCTTACATTCTGCAGTCGGTTCAGGTGTTAAATTATTATTTATAATAACAGTTGAATACTATTTTTATAATGTTAACACAAAGTGCACAATGATTGACTTGGGTTGGGTAACTTAAGGCAGCAATAATAAACTCAGATGTCAGTGTGTGGATTTTTCTATATTCACTTTAGTTATAGACTACTCAACATAAATATCCATCAATTTAAAACCACTTTAGAAGTATTAAAGCAATATATAAATTAATCAAAAGCTGAAAATACTTCAATGATCACTTAATAACACGAATAAATAAACGTGTTTCCATGATAAAAACCCACACCATAGTAACATTTGAATGAACTGCTCTTTTAATTTAGCTCCTGGCACTTTAATTTGGACAGTGAGAGCAATGTGTGGTTACAAAGCAAATGGGGGAGTTGGTGAAACTCAGTGCCAGGTCTTCATTCACATATTCTGGAGGCAGGATCTCATTCAGGATCACAACGCCATATATTACAATCCTTGATAATTGCCCAGGTACTTGTTGACTTGAAACTCCTCCAGTTCAGAGCGTTGTTTGCTGAAAACTTTGTGTGTCTCAGTACTGGTCAATCAGCATCTCTGCCGCCTGCAGAAAATAGTGAAAAGTATTAAAAACAAATAAATACATAATTTAAGTACACTGTAAGAAAAATTATATGATCAATTAGTCTCGACAACTTGTTTTTAGTTCATTGTAACTTATTAAACTAAGTTAATCAAGTTCTAAGTTAATTCTATAAGTTAAGCAAGCTATTTTAAGTCAGTTTAACATAATAAAAGTTCAATGGACTGGTAAGATTATTTTGATTCAACACATTTAAGGCAACAAGGATTTTTTAACATTGTAAGTTATATAACATTTAAACAACAACACTTTGTTTTTTAAAGACATTATTTTGTATTTTCAACCCGTTTGGTGTTTATAAACAAACCTACTGTACTTGAGAGAAACGTTGTGAACTCTCACAGAGATCTATGCATACATGTTGTTATAATTGTTGGGCAAAAATTTGGGAAAGTTGGTTTTACATTAGCACATTCAGACGTTCTCCTTAATATTGTAATCTCTGAAAAGTGTTATTTTCAAATTACAAATAGTGGAATCATATTGTCAACCAATGACTAGTACAACAGTGTATACAGTCAATTAAATAGTGCTAATGTTGTTCTGAAGTCAAACTTGCATGCTATTTCAGACCCAATATTTAAAGTAGAATGCACTCAAAAAAAAATAATAATAAATCAAAAAAAAAAAAATATATATATATATATATATTTTTTTTTTTTTTTTTTGTGCTTGTTCAAAGTACTTCAATAAAATAAGCTGAATCAGCACAATACTTGAGATTCATTGGGACAACTTAATTTTTTATGTTAAATTTACTTAAATTTGTTTAAAGTTTTAAGTTAATTTAATCGATTTGTGTTGGGACAACATTAATAAATTGTGTGGAACCCTGCATTTTTACAGTGTGTGATAAACAATATAGGGAGCGTGCCACGATTGCCACTTTAAAAAATGTACGAATATGAAACCAACTTTTTCTCAATTAACTTAAACATCTCCTGAGTGATGGTTGAGATGAGAGTCCTATGTTTCCGTGAATGAGGTAAAGTTGGTTTTATATTTGCACATTTGTTCAGTCACAACTTGTGACGTGCGCCCCGCTACTTTGAATACTGGGTCTGAATTGCATGACTTTAAAACAACTCTGAACAGTGATGTACTTGCTAGTGTTAATATAATTTCCCAATTTAGAATATGCAAATATTATTAAGGAGAACGTCTGAACGTGTGAATATAAAGCCAACTTTACCTCAGTGTCCGCGTGCAGTATACATTGACTACATTTAAACCTGTAGTTCGGCAGCCGTGTAAGCCTCACTATAGCGTTTCTATCATAATGCACTTGAAAAGAACCTTGAAGCATGTCCGAGGTTAATCGGGTGTTGACATGATGATCCAAAATGCTTCTCGTCAGTCTCTCCCGGGCGCCTCCGGGCTAAGACGGGGCCGCAGTTTCCCTCTGATCCTGACAGTAGTTGGCCGTGAAAGTCATAAAGTTCCCACCTGGGTAACAGTTGAAGAACGAGGTCATTACGTCTCTTAAAGCGCCACTTTAAACGGTGAATGATAGCTCGCGTCGCTTGTCTTCATTACTTACTGTACTTTCTGGCTCAACATGTAAATATTGCCTACAACAAACGAGGGGAGGGGCTTGTTTTTACTCTGACCAATCGAGATCGACCCATATGCCGGCTGGCCTCCGGTGGTGCTCCGTTTATATCGTTATATGTACATGCCTGTAAGTATAAATGGGTCTGATTTAAATTGTGGATTTATATACCTCCCTCGCCCTAAGATCTCTGAGAAGTGATTTGCTTTTGCTTTGCAGGACTGTCAGGGCCCTCAAATTCACAGGCTATTAACAATAAGGCTCATTATTCAACTAAAACGCACGAATGGCTCTCCACACAGGGGGGTATTGTTGATATATTTATTTTTCTAGACCACACTGAGATCTACCTAGATAATCTAAATTAATCTAATAGCCGAACTGATGTTTTGTTTTGATATTTTTTGTGCATTGTGATATAAAATAAAGATTGTAAACGCTTTTCTCGTCATTATTGCGCGTGATGAATTGAGTGCTCGGTTCTGCGGTTTTTGTCCCCTTTTGAGCTGAAGATAGACGCAGCGCATCTGGCTTCTCCCCTCGGAAGACTCGGAACTGCTGTCGAGGAAAATTGTGCACAATCAGTGATTGATGACCTTAAGCTACCAAATACCCATGACAACTGCAGCACTCAAACTACGACTTGCACTTATTTTCTGTAACGTGCTATTGAACGCTTTTATTTGGAGCCAAAAGAACAGAGTGAAAAAAAAACTAGTGTTTTGAAATTGACGTCGTGTTTGTGAATAAGTTTCGCATATGAGGATATGAAGACTTGTGTTTTAGACCACGATAGACAGCCTCTCCTGTGTCTGCTAGTCAAATCCAATAGGCCTGTTTGTGATTCTGTTTGTCATTCTGATATGAAAAAGGATTACCCAAAGTAAGACACATCTGGAGCTCTTTAATCTTTGTAGTATGATTATGCATTTAAGATCTTAGAATATTATCAGTTCGCAGCTACAAAGCTGAATAACTGTGGCCAGATTTAAACAAAATAAGAGAAAATAAAAACATATTTCTGCATATTCATTAAAGATTTTATTTATTTGACTTAATTATTTGATTTATTTACAATAATTAGGGTGTACGCGGTGTTATTACACTGAAAAAAAAATTCAAAGATGATTCCCTGGGTTTACTCTTTTTTTTTTACGTTAAGTGGTTGTAAACTATTTATTTGGGCTGAATTTAAACAACCAAATTAAGTTGAACAGTATTATTAATTATTTTTTTTTGTTTAAATTCAACATAAATAAATTGTTTGCAACAGTTCTGCATGCAACACTTCTGATTATTATCCATAATATATAAGCAAAAGGATGTAACTCGGTTTTGTTTTGGCCATTGTGGTCGTGTCATTGGCCAATGTCCTCGTTATCCAACTATTTCTTAACTGAAACAAGAGCCAATTCAATGTTAACTTAATATTAAACAGTTATCACTACATTATTTACCAATATGTGGCTCTTTTTGGATTCTCGGAAGATGTAGAAATTAAAAATGCCAAACACAAAATATGTTGGGATCATTGATAATTTTTACGCCCCTCAAAATGGTCTCAGATAGCAGTGCGACATTTTAAAGTTTGATCAATACCTGCTTTAATATGTACATACAAATAATGAACTAAAAACTGCACGAATTATTAAAGAAAAGCCTTGTATCAGAAAGTAATTAGCACAACCAGCAATTATTTATAATGATTTTTTAAAACATATATTGTTCCGAGGACTGGAACGAATAGTGTAGTGGTACATTTAATAATAAGAGGGCTTAATTTTACATTTCAGCAGTCATTCCCCTCATTTAAAGATCGTTGCTTCAGTGTTTTGGATATGTTTTCAGTTCCCAGTCGACGTATTTATTTTTTTCTATTTAAGTGTAGTGGATTAAAGTGTATTAAAAAGGTGGACATTTTATTTAGATCACAGATTGTGAAAAATATACGTCCTTACCCTTAGTGATTGAACCCTCTGCAGCTTTTTGGCAGTGTGTCTTTGCAGTTTTGAGTTCTCTCTCATCCATGCCATGATTGCAGAGTGTGTTGTCACAGTCTCTCTCTCTCTCAGGACAAAGTTTGGCCTCTTGCAGTTTGAAATGTGTTTCCACAGTTGAGAAAGCAAAAAGCTTTGTTCATAAGGAGCTGGAATCAGTAGCGAGACTGAAAGCGACGAGTTTTTGATTAATGAGCTTTGAAATGCCTCGCTAGGGGGAAGCCGGGAAAGAGCCTATTCTGTTAGAGACGGCTTGCCAGTGCTTACAAAGGCAGTGACGCTTTAGGCTATTCATTACCACTTATAAGGTGCATTTTAAAATACGCAGACCTATATGTATTAATGCTCGCGCGACGGTGCAGGTTAATGTTATATCAAACTGTTTAGAAGACGAAACACTTGCTGTGGGCCTTATGATGTATCAGAATTTCTATTGAGAGTCTATTAACAAGATTTGCAATGCTTTAATTTTAAAATGTAGGCTACAAAAATGGCTCTGGATTTGCAAACGGTGCCAATTCAGCAATTTCCGACATCATATTAAAGTTTTGTCATTAATACGTAACAAAAATTTGACTTTAGGAATGTGTAGTCTATATGTGAAACCCAAATATTCAATACTAAAATCTCTGCTAAATTGCCTGTTTATGAATTGTGTGGTTATGCAGATAATTTCAAATGACCAAAATAAAAACGATAGCAATGTCTTGTGGTTTGCTATTGTGTTTTGTGAACAGCCGTCATACGGGCACGCGCACATTCGCGCGCATCTGGATGGGGGTGAGCGCGAAGGTGCCTCCTTTGTTTACTATCCTTATGTTTCCAAAATGGCGCCTCCGCCTTGTGAGTTGGGCGATATCCAAGTTGGATATCTATTAATTTCCACGCCCAGTATGAAGATTTTAATTAATTTATGGTCAATATGAGATTGAAACTCGTGAATGAATATACTGATGTAGAATTCGCAATTTCACGTGTTTAGCGTAAGCACTTTATTTACAAAATGTTCAACACAATAAAATATAACATTTCCATATCGTTACCATTTCATCCTTTTATGCATGGACAGTGCAACTTGCAAAATAGCATTTATAATGAACATAAGGATGTGTCGTTAGGTGCTGGTGCTGTAAGCAACATGATAACCATTGCCAAATTCCCAAGTATAATAATTACAATTTCAAAATTCTAGTTAGTTCTTCATTTTCACAATATTTTATTACTGAATGAAGAAGGGAATACACCAATCTCACATTATTACCTTGTTTGCACCAGTTCAAAGAAATGCCTTCTGCTCCAAAATAAATTCTACACCTGCTATATAAATAATATACATGAGAATATAAATAATGTGCGTTAATTAAAACGATAAATAATAAATATAATACTCAGTCATTATAAATGCTTGTCATACAATCTTGGTGGAAAATAAATAATGGTATGGCGAAAAACCCGTGAGTAACAGACGACGCGATGGTTTTTAATCCTCTACAAAAACCCACCTCTATAAAGACGAATGTCTATACGGTCAAATCTACAGAACTTACCTTCAAGTATAATACGTCATGGAAATTGCCCTCATTATTGCCGATTCGGTTCTTTGGAGAACCCGGCAACAAACAACCTTGTGTGTGTCTTCAACAGTCAAAGAGAAATGGACCACAGCTATTATTATTAAAAAATAATTACAATCATAGCAGTAATAGTAATATCAATAATAATACAGGATAATACGTTATGTTTCTCTCCGAGTGTAGTTTTTATAAATTAGTTTAGCTAGTGAGGTAATACAAAAAGCGACCCTTCGCTTGAGCACACAGATGGGATCCTTACAGGTGCGTGAGTTTGGGCGCATCCTGCAGCCTTCCCTGAGACGCATGATGAGAGCTGAGGTCTGTGTATGTGGGGTGGGGGTCACACGGTCCGTGGTGGTGGTTACCCGGAATCTGAGCGGCACAGCTGTAGTCCACACTAGCGGATGAGGGATGGGGAAGATGACCGAGGTTGAACATGGGGCCGGAGGCTGGCATTGAATCAACGAAGTTTCCCCCGACGTACACGGGGCTACTTTGTAAATTAGCATTAGCAAAGCTACCGTTCCCCTGCATGCTGTGGTGGTCGTACTCTGTTCCCGGGTACCTTTTCTGCTGCGGTATGCAGCCGCCCAATGGCGCCGTGTATGCCGCCAAGCCGTATATATTCTGCTGCGGCTTGGCGAATGACGGAGGCGACGGCGCGTCGTAGCTGAGGCTGTTTACGTTCGGAAGCTGACCAGAATATCCAATGTGATTCGAGCCACTTAACGGCGGGCTCCTGTCCGGAGAGTGTCCTAAGGGAGAGTGCATTATGCCTTTAGATTTCTGATCTTTTTTGTACTTCATCCTTCTGTTTTGAAACCAGATCTTTATTTGGCGCTCGGTGAGGTTGAGCAGATTGGCCATCTCCACTCTTCTGGGGCGACACAGGTAGCGGTTGAAATGAAACTCCTTCTCCAGCTCGACTAGCTGGGCGCTGGTGTAGGCAGTGCGCACTCGTTTCGACGCAGGGCCAGGCGGACTCTTGTCATCGCAGGTTTCTCCTGAACACAAAGAGCAGAAATGTGCAATGGATTAATTGTGTTACACAGCCTATTACATCACTTAAAGGCCAAAGCGAGACAGCCTACTGTAAACAAAAGGAACTGGGTCATAATGATAGTAGCTGTCTCCGACTGTAGTTATTCATCTTATACTGGGTAGATAAAACTATTCTCTCCAGCCGCGCACACACACTCACTCAAGCAAAGCCCATACCTGCTGCTGGGCAGTTGGTGCTTTTCTGCTTTGCATTTTGGCGGGTCTCTTTCATCCAGGGGAAAATTTGCTTGGAGATGACTGGGGTGGCAGTGCTGGATCCATTAGAGCTGGGGGATTTCTTTTTTTGTGTGGAGTTAGTGCTGGGGCTGGGAGAGCTGGCCGCTAATGGAGCAGCCTGCTGCTGCTCACTGATACTCTCTGGCTGACTGTTGCCCTGACTGGCACTTGGTCGCATACAACTGCCATTGATGTCTCCGTTTTTATGGGTTGCTTGCCGGACTGATGTAGTTTGAATTGGACAAATTGGGCTTTGATAGTCATTCTCTATACTGGAGGATGAGAAGCCCTGGTGTGTTGGACCGTACGTGTAGGAGTCAGATTTAGGGTACGAATATCCTCCGAAAAGTCCAGCATTGTCATAATAAGTGGCTTTCTGCATTGCGAAGGTTCAAACTTAGAGATCCTGTGAACTCCTGTCCAATAGCATGGACTTGTGAATCACGTGATTGGAGCTTCCCACAGATTTTCTGTCCTTTGACCTGCTAAGAAAATAAGCCAGTTTTAGTAAAGATTGCATTGACCTTGAAACAATCATGGATACGAGATCACAAAGAATGAGACCTCATATTTAAATAATAAAAACCTCCATAAATGCATACACCACTATGCCTTTTTGCAAATCTAAACATCATGTAAATGGATCCCACTGCAAATTAAATCATGGCCTCTTCACCATTCAAATATCAGATGAACAAAGATTTCTCCCAATTCTGCAATTACTGGTGTCAGATGTTAAGCTTGATTCCATTTCTCCTCCTTATATTGAGGATTTCATGAATATTGCTTAACAAATTATATTTTCATAATGCATTACACCACAGATGGCAAAGTTATAGGAAAATAGTAGTTGTATTTATTGTCCTTTGTTTCCTTAGCTAGGCTATTCATCTCAAACTCTTCTTTTGTCATCTTGTGTCTTTAGACCAACATAACATATGGCCTCCCACCTCTGCGTAAATCAAGTTGGAAAATGGACAGATTGAACATAGTTTTGCACCATTGTGTTTGTTTAATATTTTTCTAAAAATAAAAAGATAAACTTTTACAACACACAAAAAACCTTCACACTTCACCACATCTTAACCATAGAAAATGTAATGTTGTGTGCAGCCACCTTTCATCAATGGCCTTTCCCTCTCTCTCTCTCTTACTCTTGACAAGCCAAACCCCTTCATCTTTTCACTTTCAGAACTTTAGGCAAGAATGCAACACGATGGTTAAAGTTTAACTTGTGCTAAAAGTACCCCATTGAGTGAAACTAGACGGCAACAGAAGGAGAATCAGCATTTCTCTTCAAACAATATCCCTTTCTTTTCTCACTCGTTGCTCTCTACGAGACAATTTGGGGGGTTTTCTGGGCTTTCAAATTTCGCTCGAGCAAGCATTAATTTGATATCACTATATAGGTATATTTTAAGGAAATATCTCTCAACCTTAACGTAAAAAAACAATAAGTCGCTGTTTACCCCTAATTTATACATTTGAAAACATTTAGTAGGAAGTATTCAATGTCATAGCATCATTTGACCAGATCACAACAATAAAGTAGATCGTGTGATGTATGAGACTTGTTTTTTTAAATTATACAACTTAATCACAAGAAGAAAGTGAATAAAATCTTAAAAATATTTGTAAGCAAATGCCATGAGCATATTTTGTGCTCTCTGTAATTTCACACCTGATAAATGTGGACAATTATTATTATTATTATTATTATTTTGTTCTATACTATTGGTTAATTCTCTATTTGATGCCTCAGTCGGTCTTAAATAAAATAATAATAATAATTGCTTATTAATTTGTGTTATTATGACATGGTTATTATTTAAGCGTTGGACTAGTTTCCCACCAAAGGGCCGACGTGAGTTGCAGGTGTGGTTTGGTTGGTATACCAAAGTCCTAACCTGAATATAATATAATTACATCACTTCAAAGTCTTTCTTCCTTTCTTTCCTTCTTTCTATAGTCATATTCTAAACATAGTTTTTTTTTTACCCTAGTGACTGTAGCCCGTGCTCAATACAGTAGTTATTAGACGGCCTGAAGCTCCGCACGATACATATCAATGCACCTGTCATTGTGGAGCCCGACAAAATTTATGACTGGCCATACTACAGCCGTAAATGCCTCACAGAGGGGCGAGAAGAAAAGCACTCCTCAAGACTTGGTACCGTCAGAGGGGTAAAACTCTAAGCGTAGGAGGAAGGCTGGGGGCAAGAATGTCCCGCTAAAGCCAGAGCCTACAGCCCGCCAGTATAAATCCAGCCACTGCCGTAATTCACACACTGTTGTCTTGAACGGTCTTTAACTACTTTGTAATGGGACTCCCTTTACTTCAATTGCGCGGATAACTGTGGATTTTACTGTAAATTCGGAAGAAAAGGGCGGATGGCAATATTTGTATTGGTTTTGCTTGCTTTTTATTTCATTATCGTCACCTTTATTTATTTCTAAAGCGCTTTAGACAATGTCGATTGTGTTAAAACATATATCGACAGGATAATGTTGTTTTTTACACACGTTTAAAAGTGTTGTATTAGGTTATTAAAATGTTTAAACATAGACTTCTATGATTATTATTATTTTTTTTTAATCTACGGATTGTTTTCTTTTCTGGCCCATATATTATTTGCTGTATTGTATTGTATTATGTGCCATATATTACCGTCTCTATATTGTCTTGTGTCTCTATATTATTTCAAAGGTTACCTGGAATAATATAGAGTCACTAGACAACACAGAGAAGCTTCGAAGCAATAAATCTAGCTTTATTTCGGTGCAAGTTTATGAACAAATATCTTACCGTAGTCTGTGGTTTTCTCTCTTCTCTTTCTCCTCAAACAATCCTCATAATTTTGACGGCGACCTGAAGAATACAAAAACATTTTAATTATTTATATTTTTCTTCGTCCAACTCCGAGTTTCAGTCAAGATCAGGGATGTTCCAGATTATTCCTGGTACTTATATGACCAGCACCGTTTTGTATATGGTTTCGATAGCAAAATGACAGCTATTCGTGTGGTTTTGCAATCAAAACGTGAATTTACGTCTATGAGTGTTGACAATTTTTACAACCACAAATTTATTACATTTTAACATGATGTCCCATTTAAATAAACTAATTTATGTTGCCCGTAGATTGGACTGGATTTGCGAAAGCAGCCAAAGCTGTAGCTGAGAGCGAAAAAAAAACTGACATAAGCGATTTTACACAAAGAGATGTTGGCCAAAATATTTAGCACTCATAAGCCTTTTGGGTGACCTTTGGCTTGCTCTCCAATAACTCACTGATTAATGAACAACGGACGGAAGGGACTCAAGTCACAATGCAATCCACACCACACAACTTTTTCACCGGGTATTTTAAAACCAAGCGAGAGCCTGAAGACTAGATTTAAATCCTCATCCTACACGAGCGATGACCTGTTCTCCTCTACACTGAAAATTCTTTAGAAAACATAAGACGAGGACAACAACTTTCAACCGAGCCATGGGATTAATACAACTAATAATGCTGTTGTTTTATTGTGCCGGACTACAGCGTTGCCATATGTAATGTAAACAAGCGGATTTATGTAGCACGTATTTTAAACCTGTGTGTCATGTTCAAAGTCTTAATGGGAATGTAAATGTAGCGAGCAGACCAGCCGAACATGGTCTGCCTTTATTAGGCAACTGTGTTTTCGCCTACGCACTCCCACGGTAAGTTTGGTACTCATAATAGAACAATAGGTTGTGAAAAAATAATAGACTCTCTGGAGGTCGATGTGTAAATATATTCTTGCAAATATGTGTCTTAATTGCATGCCCTTTTTATGTTTTGTGTGGCTAACAATTTAGGCCCTAGTTTTAATATTATGCAATTAAAATATTGTTGCAAGGTGAGGAAAAGTCCTCTAACGCATCAAATAATCAAAAACGAATTTTTCAATTATTTGTATTTGTTAGATATTGCAAAAATAAGACATGCAAGATCAGAAATGCATGTTTTGCTAAAGAAATGCATAACAATATTGAATTACTGTGTGTAAATAATCAAAAGCGCTCGGCTGAAAATGTAAAATAATTTATTTTTGTGCTCAGACATGAAAAATTAAGCAAAATTGAACGTAATCATTCAAAGGAACAATTGAGATATATTAGATATTTAAACTTAAATATAAAACACACTACCAGCTCAGTTTTTAAATATCAAAATGCTTTTACTTCTTGTCCTAAAACTATAAACATTACAATTTTATAAAAAAAAACTATGGCCATACATGGTTCCCATGAACAATTAGAAATTGGGTAATGCAATTTTTTGAATCCCCAAAACTATAAATAACAATGCATACATTGCATTCTAAAATAATGTGAATATATGAAAACAATGATTTTTGAAAGAATACCCCAACCCACATATGTCATGTCGAACATCGCATTGACTATAACATAAATTAAAGTGATTAACGATCTCACAATGTATGACACAGATGTTTTATGCTGTGCATAGCCAACTCAGCTACCGGAATAAATATGTACATCTAAAAAAAACTGCAACTCTAAAATTATATGACTGAAATTACCTTACATGCTAACCTTATAAAACAGTCAAGGTTGCGCAAAGATGTAAACTAATGTCAGTTTTTTTCTACTGTGTCTTCAAATCGCATTTGCTTAGTTGGTAGGCGACGACATTAATAAAGATCAGCTGCTTTGAATGGAATAAATCATATTTTTACGCCGGCCTAATGTAAACCCACGCTTAAAGGTTACGTTTTGCAATGCAATTGCTTACCTGTGATGTCAATTTATTATATAGCCGTGCTTCTTAGTCTCAATATCTCTCAGTTCAGCTGCTCGGATATATCCTTCACCCTTTGTCTATAGACAGTACTGTCTTAAAACTGATCTCGCGCTTTTCCAGGCATTTCCATATACCAATGCAGACAGTATTCCCGAAAGAATGGGAGCCACTCACTCAGCTACCAATAAAAAGCCAAGAAGGTCTTCTTAATCCAAAACGAAATATTACTTGCAATCAGCTTCCCATTTGAAAAGCGTTTTACAGAGGCACGCTCACCGAATGAGTCGACATTAGTATATTTCGGAAACCTTATCATGACAAATAAAGGCGCTGCCTTAAAATACAAGCATATTTGTTCACGTGATCCGGATCGCAGATTGTCCTGATTGAGACTGCTACTCCAACCAGCTTCACCTCACAAATACATTTTAAAAGCAAGAGCACTAACATTCCCTCCAGCTGCACCATCATCGTACAATCATTTTGCACAAGATCTCTGTCCTTTCTCTGCCACTGTCTCACAGCAATAAAGAGCTATTTGATATGGTCTTAAAACACAGGTATACTAAAATAATAATAATAGCAAACGTTCAAAAGAAACACAAATATATTGCTTTTTAAAATTAGGTTTTGTTTTATTTAATTATCGCATAGCCTAATTCGAGGATCATGTTATTATTGTTTTCATATTTTCACCATGTTTTATTATGTTTCTGCACACTCTTTTTTTATTTTACGCAGCTTTTCGGATCAGAGCATTGTTGAAAGCAACAACATTACAATTTTTTGGTTTGTTTTATTAAAAAGGAGCATGATCAGGTATAGCTGGTGCTTTTTGCCCGCTGAATTTACTACATTATAGGCTGCAAGAAACCACTGAAATATTGTTTGACTATTATGGTTTAGGCAATGACAGGAATATATGACCTCGTCAGCCAAAGAGATTCATCAAAATCATCCCAAATTCTACATTGTTCTTCTGGAAAAGCATTGCTCTTTATTTGAGCATGAAGTATACACATTTATATTTTCAATGTCTACATTTTTATTTGTTATGCAAATATGTGCATTTTCTTGTGTTTTCCGATTACAAATGTAATGTATTTTTGAATGCATTTATTCTATATTCACCCTGTACTTTTTAATCCACAAGACAGAATTTCAGCGGTTAAATGCAATCAGTTTGGTTGTATGTATTGTTGTGCTGTTTGGATGTGTGTCTGAACGGTGAGATGGAGATGAAACGATTGGGAACGCGGCCGAGCGCAGGATTGTCCTGAGGAGAGGATGCGAGTCGTCTCCCCTTGCAGCATATGTTCACGGGCTAATAAAAGTGAAAGATTTACAGTCCACGCCCGGCCCCCAACAGCCTCTCACCCTTTCAGGAATTACTGAGCATGATTTACAACGATGCAGATCACCGTCATCCCTCTCCAACAGTTCGAGCCACTTTATGGATACATCTACGATTATAACGCACCATTACTAAACACGTGTGGGCGTTGAGAAGTTTTGGACATCAGTGAAATGTATTGTTTTTTTGATAGATGCCATTATTATTGTTTGGTTGGTGGGGTTGTTTCGATCTTCAAAAATTCCATTTGCATTTAACTTCAATAACTATGCATATGAATAACTGTGTGATGATTGTCCAGTTCTACAGATGAATTCTAGTCTGTGTCGTTTTTAATCAAAACAAACACACATACACACACGTCTCCACAAATGGTCGCGACTAAATAGGGGAAGAAACAGCATCTTTGACGGATTATAAATCACAAAGAGGCCTTCGTTAAAGCCCTGGCGGCTAAGAAATAAACAGCTCGGTGCACTTCGCATTTTTCTCAGAAACGCATCAATATAACATTAAATTTCTAGAGAAAATATTTACTATTCTGCATTCTGAATGCTCTAAAAGTGAACGTGCTGTTACTGAACTGCTCTTATTCATTGATACAGGTTTAGAGACTACATGCTGAAGCTATTAAAGGAGAGAGAAAAAATCACAATGAGCCTGAAGTTCAGTCTGTCCGCGACGAAGACTGAATCAAAGGACACTATTCATCAAAAATCTGACAGATATGTTTATTCGCTGTCTCGCGGCAAATATTAATCTTAAATGTTTACCTACCGATCTTCCATTGGATGAAAAGCTGTACGAATGTGCAGGCTGCGGTGGTGTGAGAAACAGGACCGTTTGGATATTATTTTCTTGGATCTCTTCAGTTTTCAAGTCTGATAGAGTCCTCGCGATTAATGACGATGCCGTGTTTCTAGGGGACGTGCTGCATTAATTATTTAGACAATCACGTGGTCAAACAAAAAAAGATATAGAACGGAACCATATACCGAATTCTGTCTCGGGATGTCGACAGCGCAGTTTGATTTATCTTAACGGCTGGTCTCGATGGGCGAACACATTTTCAGCGAACAGCTGGAAATCAAAAATGGCCGTTTGAGAGGCATTGTGAGAGCGGCGGTGGTAGTCGGTGCAGTGTCATTGCAAATGGAACTGCGTATGGCTCCCATTTATTCTGTTCAGACATCCAGGTCAATACTCAGATTGCCTTAAACACTAAAGGCGAAAACAATGGAGGGATCCCCTGCGTTGTATCACAAGGTTTATCAAGCGAATGTTAGAATGTATATAGAGAAATTTAGAATAGGTTATATAAACCCAAATGTACCAAATTAAATGCAATAAACCCCTGAAATTCAGTCTAGGGTTGAAAAGTAGAGGGTGAATATAGAATAAATGCTCATGAAGAGTTTAGATACAAAAAACTCTAATTGCCATCTATTCTTCTAAAATTAGCATTTTTATCAGGCTCCTGTTAGGCTTGAGTTATATCACTTTTATGGCATAGAATAATCCCTTTTTTGGTCTTCAAAGTGAAACAACTCAACATAAACAAAGGAAGCTGAGAAAAATATTCATTTTCGATGGAAATTTCAGACGGCACTTAGAGGATTTTGCATCTGAACTCATCATATATATATATATGCATACATACATCACATTTTAGGTTTTAGACTATATAATATGGGGACAGTATACATATTCAAATAGTCTATA